GCTGCCTATACCAACTCTAAGGAAATTTGGTTGAAAAGAGAGACAAAGGGGGGTTACTATATTTAGAGTCAAGTTGTGATTTTTAAATTCATATGGAATTTATTTAGAAGTGTGAGAACATTTATTTTTTCTGTTTAGCAACCCAATTTTTCTAGCACCATTTTTTAAAAATTTCTCATTCATAGCAAGTCCTCTTCAAGAATCACACAGTTTTATATGTCTATTATTATCGACAAGGGTTTCTGGACAATTCCTCAATTCGGGTCAGCTGTCCAATCTTGCACCTGTAACATAGGAATGTAATAATAATTGGAGCATTTAAATGGGTTTTAACATCCGGCAAAAGTTCCACTCACTGATTTCCTTTTGCAAAGTGTTCTTAGCTGTAGTTGCCTCACTTCCTATTATGTCCATTCTTTTTAGGCAGTTATCATCTTCATTTATTTAATTTTTAACAGTAAAGCTCATCACTTAAAAATGCATATGGAAAATAAGAAGTTAAAATCCCAACCCTCCCTGCCAACACACCACCTATGCAAGTTCTAACTAGTTAGGAACAGAAGCCCACCCATCTGATAAGATGCATGTATAAAATTTCCTAATTTTATACATACATTTTATATGTAAATATATCAGGTGAAATGCTTCCAAAAAAAGGAGAGAATGTACATTCTTCAAGGAGAGAAAAGCACAAAATCTTGTGACCTCTCTCCTTCCCTCACTCATTCTTCTCTGAATTGGAGAGCCTAATTTAGCCCTTTCTGCTTCTCTTTTAATCCCTTGTACACAAACGCCACCACCTCCCTATCACGCTTCATTTAGAAGTTCTATTTGTTGCTAGTTTTCTAGGGTTCACCTTCCTCTTTCCAGCAGTCTTATTTAAACCTGAACCTAAAATGTCTCTATAAGTGCACCAAAATTAAATAATCAATTTACCTGCCCACTGGGATGACATATGTAACACTTTTATGTCTTCTAATATTTCCTACCCCCATTGCCTTTAACACATAGATTTGGTTTAAATTATATGAAACTTTAGTGTGGTCATTTTAATTTTTCCTTAATAAGAGGTATGATAGACATACTTTAGAGTAATCCCTAATGAGTCATGCTTTTGTATACTTCCCTCCCCTTGAGCATGAGCTTCTAGCCAATAGCATATTCCAAAAGTTAAGAAAGAAATGTTGAAGATGCGTTAAGGTCCTAATCAGTTGACTTTGAGTCAATCATAGGTGGGCCTGGCCTAATCAGGTGAGACATTAAGAGGTGCAGGCCTCTCCTAAAGTTAGATACGTGAAGCAGCAGAGACTCTCTCTCATAACTGCTGACCTTCAAGAAGCAAGCAGTCATCAATTCTACAGCCACAAGGATATGAATTCTGCCAAAAATGCAAGGAGACATGAAAGTTGACCCTTTTTATTCAAGCCTCAGATGACAACTCAGCCCAGTCAACTTGTAAGACCCTGAGCAGGGAGTTCATTAAGCCAGACTTAGATGAACAAAATTGCTAAATAATAAAATGGTGTTGTTTCAAACAATGACCTCATACTAATTCTTTATGCAGCAATACTAATCAATATAAAAGTAAACCCATTTTTTAAAAGACTTTTCCTCACCAATGAATTATCATTCACAATCACATCAATATCATCTCTAAGTTTTTCTCTGCATTTAAAGCAATCTTTTCAACCCTATTCCTCTTGTTCTCTACCTTCCTCTATCTGGCTATCTTTGCTCTGATTTAGTTACTGAGAATATTTTTAAAAGAATTTTCTGAGAGAGGATGTTATATTTTCTGTATCCTAAAGTGTACAAAATGTCTTTCTTTTGCTCTCAAACATCAGTGACCCTTTAACTACCAGTCCTTATTGAAAAGTCTAAAACACTTCTTCACTATTATTAAATTTCATTACAGAGAAGATGAGTCCAAAGCTGGTTTGATTCTTTCTTCTGTATGTAATCTGTACTCCCTTATAAAAACAATTCTCTTTATCCTTCCTTGGATTGGAAATTCCACCAGGAAATTTCAAATTATGTGTCTTCCCCTTCATTAATCCTCTGGCACTGGGGAAGCCCATTCTATTTGAAAATGTCAACGGTCTTCTGCTCATCGACTTCTCCTTCTAGTAATGGGTCCATTCTGGTTTTATATCCATGTTTCCTTCCTCCTTCTTCTGGAGTGCCCAGCCCTCAAATGGAAGCAGAGCTCTTGAATCTTTTCTCCACATTTCATATCCTTCAACTCACGGTTTCTATTTCCTCTTGCTTTTACTTCGAACATGAATTAGTTCCTCCTTTTACTTTCCCAGATCTAAATTTAATGTTGAGTAGCATACACCAGTCTTTTCACTTTCTCTCTTGAGTGTTTAGTGTTGTTATTATTGCAATTTTGTTTATATTTCCTAGATTTTTCCTCTCTTTGGGTTGCTGGTCCAGGCTTCCCTATATTGGCAAGACTGGAAGTTAGCAATTCCAGGCAGAGACAGATAACACCGGGGATTCTCCTCCAGTCCTAGATGGGCCAACCAACATGGTCCTAAGACTTGGGGTAGAGGCTTCCCTCTTGGGGTTCTCCAGGTATGAACAGGAGACCATTCTCTCCTAGCCACACACACACATACAAAAAAAAAAAAAAAAAAAAAAAAAAAAAAAGGACCATTTCAGCCCCACTATGCAATTCCTTAAGGACAGCCAGTATCTACTTAATCAGAGCCCTCTGCCTCATGGAGTAATATGTAGCACATCCATGGCATGTATGGCCTCTCCACAGGCTGAGTCCTTTGGGCTCAGCTGGTCATTGAATCCTCCATTCTCCTCAGAATCCTGTCCCCTAACCCTGCTGTATGCAAAGGCACCCAGCATCTGCATCCTTTTCTTAAGAACCCAAACCCTCAGATGTGTTTGATATCCCCTTCAGAGCCGTCTACCTCCTTGAAGCATCCCCAGCAGAGTCAGTAAATGAGGGAAGAGGTCACAGAAAGGTAGACAGGAAGGAATTTAGAACATACAAGGAAGGCTTAACCTTGAGCATGATGAGGAGCCATGATCACCTAAAGAGGAAGAAAATAAGGATTAAGTGGTTGTGATTTCAGGAAAGTTTGTAGATGCATGGGCCAGCACAGCAACATCACCTGAGAACTTACCAAAAACTCAAATTCTTGGGCCCCATCCTAAGTATACTAAATCAGAAACTCTATGGGTGAGGCACAGCAATCTGTTTTAACAAGCCTGCCAGCAGACTCTGATATAAACTTAAGTTTGAGGACCACTACCATAGAATGTGGAAAATTAGATAAATTTGAAAATGTTTACAAATGATGAGCTTTCTTCTATGCCATGAAGATGGAAGTAGGTGATTTACTATGGAGCTTGGGATAAGAGGGAAAAGTTGGGAAGACCCACTGAGAAAAATGAAAGGGGGAGGTGAGCAAGTCACAGTCCATAAATTTGTAGAGACACTAGTCAGTCACTGTGCAATTGTATTTTTTGCTTCTTAGTCACAAGGACACGAGCAATACCTCAAAGACGGGAATGTTTGGGACATGTTCAGGATATACCCTACTAATGACTTGGTCATTTTAATGATGAAATTTGTTTCATAAAATTTCATCATATACTCTATCATAAACTAAAGAGTTCTGGAATTCAAAATTTTTGAAGTATATCGACCACTACCAATTTTGTCATTAAAAAATCTCAAGATATCCGTAAACATCCCTGTCCTTACTTTATCCAGGCAAGATAAAGGCCAGTCCATTTAAGAGATTTATCCATGTTCATCAGGAAGCCAGTGGCATGATCTGGATGAGTCACTTAGGTCTCCAGATTCATTGCTCATTTATTTCTCTTCCCAGCACTCGTATTTTCTAATGCTCTGACAAACCTAGAACTCAGAAGCCATGTGGATGAACCCAGCACATCAGCCCTTGTGGAAGTCTGCGGAGTCTAGCTCTAAATGGGCACCACAGGCTAAGAAGCATCAAATCTGCCAAACACAGTGCACAGACTTGGCCCAGCTTCAGCCCTTCTATCCAAGGGTTGGATCAAGTTCATCCCTGTGGCCCATCCACAGAGAAGCAAAAGGGCTGCCATGCAAGGTCACCAGGCAGATGGATGGTATCAATCAAGTAAGCAGTGGAGGGAGCAAGAGGTTATATGAAATGGTTATAAATATGGCCCACAAAAGCATTTCAAAAATCTAAACCCACCCCTGAAGTTGTGACTTAGAGAAATGTGGGCAGCCGCTGATGAACAGACTTTCCTGGTCCAGTGCCAGCTGAGGGTATCTGGGCTCCAATGAAACCTCACCATCCACCAACTGCAGCCCGAGCCCATGGGGGAGGTAGATACAAGGGTTTCAGGGACCATGCTGGCCAGGTTCATGAGGGATACCATTATCTACCACCTCACAGGGTGAGAGAGAAGATTTATGAGTGAAGGCACAGAAAGGCTTAAAACAGAGTCTACACATTAAAAAACACTCAGTCGGTGTCAAATGTTTTTCCCGAGTGACTTTGACAGGCATTCACTCAAATGAACTAACATTTCCCGCCCAACTGAATCATTTAATAAGAATTCACTTATATTCCAATGCATGAGATTTCACCTGTCTCCTCCACCCAAAAGCACAACATCCTAACTTTGCCCAGCAAGCACGGAGCTAGCTGCTCCCCTCTCCCACCGTTTCCACAGCAGTGTCCTCAGATCTATGCCTGATGGCCCACTTACTAGCAATCCTTGTCCTTGACTTTTTGCATATTCCCACAAAGAGGTGAGGATGTAGAAGCAAAGAACAGGAGAGAGATTTTTCAGTTTATTAACAGAAAACCTGAGACTTGCCAATTGGTCTCCTTGGCCCCATAAATCATCCCACCACCACCACTACTTGATTTTTATTCAAAACAATTTCTGCTCCAATGAAAGGTTTACCCATTTAAGTTGAGAAATCTGTGAGGTCATGTGTGACTAATCTGGCACAACAAGGCCCAATGGTCACTCACCTTTGTATTCGGCCAGGCACACGCACTCATAGCCATTTACGAGGTCCCTGCAAGTGGCCGCGTTCAGGCATGGGGCGGAGAGGCACTCATTGTACTCTTCCTCACAGTAGAGGCCATGGTAACCTTAGGGGCAGAGAGAAAGGACTGCTGTCAAATGTGTCCCATTTCCACCCACTCTGGACCAGCCTGCCTTTGAGGCACCTTGGGGTTCACAGGAAAGTGGGGCACAGACAGATGAGATGTAGGAGCGGGTCTCTTGGGGTATAATTGAAATGAAGATTTCTGGAAAGGCTATGAAGAGTCTGTTCCTAGCACCCTCCTTCACGATCCCCAGATTTAAAGAAGTTATCTCTGACACTCCAGATACATATACATACATCAGAACTCACAAGCAGTGAGAAGCATGTTTTCCTTTTGAAAGTATATCCTGCTGTGCTCTGATTGTTGCATGTTTGATTATGAGGAATTGCTTTGTTTGATGAATGAATGAATTCAAACCAGAGAACAAAATTCCTCAATAAAGTCTTTTCATAGAAACATATTTTTGACTCAGTGCTCATTTCTCTCAAGAGTAGAACATTCGTTGATAAGTGAAAATATTATTTTCAGCCCAGCTGGCATGGCTCAGTGGTTGAGCATTGACCCATGAACTAGAGGTCATGGTTGGATTCCCAGTCAGAGTATATGTCCTGGATTGTGAACTCGATCCCCAGTAGGGGGCATGCAGAAGGCAGTTGATTGATGATTCTTTCTTATCACTGATGTTTCTCTCTCTCCCTCTCCTTTACTCTCCGAAATAAAATTTTAAAAATGAACCCTGATCTCTAGACTGCAACTCTATATTCTTAAAAAAAAAAAAAAAAAAAAAAAAAAAAAGAGTTATCCATTATCTGCCAGATGATCTCCTTATTACATCGTGTTCAGGGGCACTGATGGCTGTTGAATATATGTGTTGTGGCCACAGGTCACTGATAGCAGCAGAACTTCCAACTCCTCTCAAGGATGTAGACCACATTTTCCCTCCAATCAATTCAAAAAAAATATATCTAACTAAAGACAATTCTATTAAAGGAGAAAAGGATCAATGTATTTGCTTTGTGTTTCAAGTCAGGAAACAAACTCAGCTAAGCAGGCATAACTAAAATTCCTAAGGAAACGTGGGCTATCTTTTTTTGTTGTTGTTTATTTACAGTTATGATTATTCACATTGTATTTTTAATTGTGCTCAAATTTTTAATTATTCAAAATATAATCTTCGCAATAAAAAAGGAGAGAACTAACAATTCCTTAACCAAAGATAGTTCCTACCCTCCTCATCTCAAAACAGGTATTTATTCCAAAGGACAAGAAGATAACATTCCTTGAGATTCACTCATGAGTGTTATGCTGTTTTTAACTTTCAAAAACATGTGTTACTGCCAATTTGCAATGAAACTGGATCGTTTTTGTCTGGCCCTGTCCAAACAATGAGAAACATGTGAGTGCTCTCAAAAATCACCCTGTCTGTGTTGGTTCTGAATCCAGATAAGCAGAAAAAATAAACCCTTGCTCAAGTGGGAACTAGAACCTCTAGCTTGTTTCCAGCTTTCCAACTCCTAGCCAGACCTCAAACTCAGAAAGTCCCCTCAGGTCCTGCTGAAGTGTTAAACTGTTTTGCTTCTTGTGCCCATCACAGTAGGTTAAGCTCATATTGGTATTCCTAACCAAGCATTTTCCAAGCACTGGCCATTTCAGTTGCTTTTTGAACTGCTTTCCAAACTTAGCTGGTGATAAAGACTCCTTTGAGGAGACCTTGACCTACTTAGGACAAAAAGACCATGGTTCTCAAGTCTTCTATCTCACCCTTTTTGTAGTTTTAGGGAAATATTTTGCATTCCTCTTTTTTTTTTTCAAAGTTTGGATTTTATTTTTGTTGTTAACCCTCACCCAAGGATATTTTTCCATTGACTTTTAGAGAGAGTGGAAGGGAGGAGGAAGAAACAGAGAGCGAGAAACACTGATGTGAGAGAGACAGACACATTGATTGGTTGCCTCCAGCATGTACCCCAAACATGCCTGGGAATTGAGCCTGCAACCTCAGTATGAGGTATATATCCTTGACCAGAATTGAACCTAAAACCCTTCAGTCCATGGGCTGACGCTCTATCCATTGAGCCAAACTGGCTGGCCCGTTATTCTTCATCAGACTGTTTTCTTCATCTAGATCAGAGTTATGCAATTAACAGCAATTTTGTCCCCCAGAAGATTTTGGCAGCTTGATATGTTTTTGATTGCCATAACTAGAAGGGTCATTATAAATGTGTGTGTGTGTGTGTGTGTGTGCATGTGTGTGTGTGTGTAAACGTGTTGGCAAGGATGTGGAGAAACTAGAACCCTGTGCACTATTGGTGAGAATGTAAAATAGTGCAGCTGCTTTGGAAATCAGTATGGAGAGTCATCAAAATATTAAAAATAGAACTGTCATATAATCTACAATCCCACTTCTGGGTACTCATCCAAAAGACTTGAAAACACAATCTCAAAGATATATTTGCATTCCCATGTTCACTGCAGCATCATTCACAATAGCCAAAAAACAGAAATAACCTAAATGTCAATCAACAGGCATGTAAATAAAGAAAAAGGATATATTCATACAATGGAATATCATTCAGTCTTTGAAAAGAAGGAAATCCTGCTATGCTATATCATGGGTGAACCTTGAGGCCAAATGTTAAGTGAAATAAGCCAGTCACATAAGGGCAAATACTTCGTGATTCTGAAGTAACTGAACTCATAAAAGCAGAGGAATATGGTGATTGCCATGGGCTGGGGAAATGGAAATTGAGAGTGGATACTTAATGGGTATTGAGCTTAATTTATGCAAAATGAAAATGTCCTAGAGCTATGTTGTACAACAATGTGCATACAGATAATAACACTGGACTGTAAACTTAAAATATGTCAACAGAGTAGAGTTCATGTTATAGGATTTTATTATGTGTGTCACGATACATGATTTTATTATGTGTGTTTTCTGGCTTCTTCTCCATGTGGAGAAACAACCACAAGCAGCATCTTTTCCATTGTATTTGCTCTCATAGAAGATGTTTTAAAAATCAACTGGGAAGGAGCACATATTAACCCTAAATGCATTTTGGCCTCTGAATTGAGGCGCTATTTACAGAGACAAAAATCAAAAGAAAATTTCATGAAATTATCTGTAAGCATTTTTTGTTTTTGTAAAATAGTAATCACTATCTTTTTCTACTAGCAACATGCTAAGCAAATGAGGAAGTTATTTTACAGGAATCATTAAGCTGGTGTTGCTTTTATTCCTTGGAGGGGGGGGGGAGATAACGGTTTCATATGCTAAAACTGTTTCTTCAGAGACAGTAACATTTAAATGCCTTTATGGAAATGTCAAGGCACCCTTTAAACTTTGTGCCAAAAGACCTAAATTGGACTGTTTGAATGAAAAAGGCCATCCTTCCAAAAGAGAAGGATTCTGCAAAAATGAGGCTGCCACCCCTGCTGGTAATTAATTTGGAAAAAACAAATTAGCTCAGGGTAATAGGCTCAGTGTCTAGAAAAATTAACCTAGTTGAGTGGCTGGCAAACTCATTAGTCAACAGAACCAAATATCAACAGTACAACGACTGAAATTTCTTTTGAGAGCCAAATTTTTTTAACTTAAACTATATAGGTAGGTACATTGTTATTAACTTAATTAGGGTACTCCTAAGCTGGCCTTTGTTGTTGCACATTGTTGTACAACATAGCTCAAGGGGCCAAAGAGCTGCATGTGGCTCGTGAGCCGCAGTTTGCACGACCACTGACCTAGCCCAAAGAACTTTTAAAAAATAAAATAGAATACCAGAAGCATGGAATCAGAGTGGCTCTTCCCAGGGCACTGACTTTCATCACCACCACTCTGATTTGGGCATGACTTCTCCTGAATATTCAGCTCCAATCACTTCCTTAGAATTGACAAAGCATAGCAAGTGGCAGGATGTGGGAGTGAGACAGAGTGGTCCATATGGCTGCCATGCTTAGGCTCAGTGAGTGGATGATGCTGCCATTACCACAAATAGATATGTCTAAAAAAATAACAGGTGTTTGAGAAACTTGACCAGTTGGACATGTTTAACTTGGGGCCACTTACGGAGGTCCCAGTACAGTTGGAAATAAATGAACTCTAATAACATAGAAGCATCACTTTGAGAGTTTAGTTGCCTATAAGTGGTAAAGTTTTCCTCAAAGGAAAACATGAAGAGGAAAGAAGAAGGTCAGATCTACATGGATGGGCAGGTAAAGAACAAGAGGCCAGGTCAGGAGAACTGGGCAGGGATAGAGCTAAGGAGAGGCGAAAAACCAAGGAGGGCAATGCCATGGGAAGACAGGAGAGGAGAGGAAACCAAGAAGGCCTAGTTTATGGTGTCAAAGGTTCAAGAGAGTGAGAATAACAACTAGATGATAAGATTAGGACCTTTAAAACCATGGCTCTCAATAGGGGCTATGCTGATCTTTTGAGGGTACTTTGGAGATTGGGGCGGGGGTGAGGGGGCTGGTTATTATAGTAATTGAAGAGTTCTACTGGAATTTAGTTGGTTTGAGCCAGAGATATTAAACATTGTACATTGTCAAGATTCCCCTCCACATAGAAAATGCTCTGGCATCCTCAACTGTAAATAGTCCCATTGGACATCCACATAGGTGATAACCCTGAGGATCACATTTCAGGTAAAAAACCCAACTGCATCACCTATTCAGCACAGTTTTTAAGGTACCCTGAGTTTTCCTAGAATGGAACCACTGGGTATATCAAGAGAGGATTGTACCAAAACGTGTTCACCATTAGGAAAAATATCTTCCTAAGAGCAACAGAGGAAGTTAAGTCACCAAAAAAGCACACCTGTATCAGTAAGCCAAATAAAACATCTTCAGATAATTTTCTGACAATACCATCCAAAGTAGCTTCCCCACCAGTTACTCATCACTACACTCAATTGACTTCCATCATGGCACTTATAACTGCCTGAAATCATATTTCTAGCTTAGTACTTTAATTGCTTATTATTTCTCTTCTTCAGCTAGAAAATAAGCTTAAAGGCAGAGGCCATAATTGTGGTGTTCACAGCTGT